TTCACTCTTGAACTTGTATCCATATCCAGTCCTTGTGATTATCTGGCTGAGGAGGTTCAAGCCTATGCAGAACAGCAGTGGGAACAGTACATCACTGGTATATGTCACACTTGACGGCCATTTGTGCAAGCTGTCTTGAGTTGACTTCCAATATTGTCTTCCGTAGTCCCATTGAGTTCTTGAGGAAGGCCTTTAGTGTCCTGTTGATTTTGTATAACGCCAGGCATTCACAGATCCACTGAGTGGTAGGCTTTCCTGTAGTCAATCCAGGCTACACTCAGATTGGTCTGTCTAGACCTTGAGTCTTGTGCAACTGCTCTATCTATGAGCAACTGGTGTTTTGAGCCTCTGGTGTTGTTCCCAATGCCCTCTGGAGCTGTGCTCATGTACTGGCCCATTTGGTCCTGTAGCTTGGCAGCTAGGATGCCTGATAGGACTTTCCATGTTGTGGGGAGGCACGTTATTGGCCAGTAGTGGAACGGTGCTGTTCCCTTGTGGAGGTCTTTCATGATCAGCACTGTCTTTCCTTGAGTTAGCCAAGTCTGGGTGGGAGCCTGTTGCTAGCAACTGGTTCGTCTGCACTGCTAGGCGTTCATGCACTGCTGTTAGTTTCTTTAGCCAGTAGGTGTGGATAATGTCCGGGCCAGGTGGTGTTCAGCAATTCATGTTCTTGACCCGCTGTTGGATGTCTGCTGCTGTGATGGTGACTGGTTCCTGTTCTGGGAGATTGCTGTGGTCTGCTTTCAAGGTCCTGCAGCCACTTTGCACTGGTGTTATGTGTCTCACACACACACAAACACACACACATATAGGAATAAAAATCTAATAATAATAATCTTCCTGTGGAGGTTGAATCCATCTGGAGTGAACTAAATTCCACATCTTGGCACTCAGTGAGACTTATTTTCAACCAGATTCAGACAAGATTGCACATGTGTGCAGCAGTGATAGAACATAAGCTACGGGAAAGCATTGTAGAGCAAAGGAAAAAAATCTATAATGATTCTAGCAGTTTCAGGGAGAATGAAACATTTGGGAATTGTTAAGGTTTTAGCTTTGGAGGAATGACAGAATCCTAATGAAGGGTAAATGATGATTTATGACCTGTGTGGAGAAAGAAAAATATATTTCCCCTAATGCGAGAAGTTGAAATCAATGATGCAGACCATATGTTCCAGCCACCTGCTGGAAAACCTATTTATTCATTTCTTCTATTTGTATATCACTGAATCAATAAAGGCTTTAGAAATCAAGAACTTAAAACATCCCTTACAGATGGATGTGCAGTCTGTTGCTGAAGAGGTCCACTGAGGGAAAACCTGACGAGCCCTCCAGGCAAATAGTTGTGTTCTTGAACCGTTCTGACCAGACAGAGATTTCTCTTGATATTCAACTTCACCTCTTCTGCTGGGAAGAGACTGTTTTGAGTCAGGGAGCACGTTTGAAACGTTTGAGATCATCCTGTGGATCCTTTCATCAAAGGGTTGTCGGAGTGGACAGGGCGATCAGAAAGACCCCTTGACAAGAAGGCAAAATTCTCTTTTGTTCTTTCCTCCCCACACCAGAAGCTGTCTGTTATTCTGGTTTGCTTTTTATTCCCTTTTGTCCCCATGGGCACGTGTCCAACTATTCCTCCCCCCATTTCTTGTGCCTTTAAGTCAATCTACACCTGGCATCTGCCTAGGCAAGTCCCAGCAATTTTCTTGGCAAGATTTTTGGAAGTGGTTTGCCCCGGCCTTCTCCTTCCTGGGTCTGAGGGAAGGGACTGGCCCAAGGCCACCCAGCTGGCTTTGTGTCTAAGGCAAGACTAGAACTCCCAGTCTCCCAGTTTCCTGCCTGGTGCCTTTAACCACTATGCCAAACTGGCGCTCTAAAACAGTGCTTCTCAACCTTAGCAACTTTTAAGATATGTGGACTTCAACTCCCAGAATTCCCCAGCCAG